CAAAAATTTGATACACCTCACCCCTTAGTCCTCCGTATCCAACTTTGGCTACGCCGCATCTTTACCAAGCATAAAGATATGTTTTTTGTTGGGTCCCTGGTCATGTTGACGTACAGGGCAATGAACAGGCAGACACTGCTGCGCGGTCAGCAGTACATGACCTACCAGTTTTCTTATAGAGGTATTCCATTTACGGACTATTTTGCTGCAATATCTTCCCACCTTCACACCCGTTGGCAACAACGTTGGTCTACTATGCTCGGCAACAAACTTCAATCTATTAAACCGAGTATAGGTTACTGGCCGTCTTCTTATCACCAGTGTCGAGGTTGGGAGACTACTCTCTCCCGTCTTCGCATTGGCCATACTCGTCTTACTCATGGATATCTCATGGAGAGGCGTCTTGCTCCTCTCTGTGAGAATTGCCAAGCTCCATTATCAGTCAGCCACATTCTGTTGGACTGCCCACTTTATCAACGAACACGCAGAATTTACCTCTGTCGTCGTCTTCGCTCCGCTGCTCTCTCTTTACCTTCCCTTCTCGCTGATGGACCCACGTTTCATCCGGACTCTCTCATTGACTTTTTGACAACAACTGACTTACTTCACAAATTCTGATACCTTCAGCCCTTTCTACTTCAATCTCTTGCTACCCTCTACCCCCGTACTATCCCCTGCCCCGCTGTTTTCTGTAACCTGCTGATCATCACCCCTCCCTTCTGCCATCCAATACCCTCGCTTCCTTCCCTACCCTGCAGCGCTGTATAGCCCTTGTGGCTTAGCTCTTCTTTTTGATTATAATAATAATTGTGTGTAATGAAGACACACTGGAGCAAGTAGAGCTCCAGACTCTCCTGATCATTAAAGCTGAAACTTGCATACTCCCTGCCCTCGGGTGGAGGCACTATCCTTGCAATATAGTGAGGTTAACTTTTGACAGCTGTGAGCTGCCACCATCTGTTCACATAACAGGACACTGCCTACAATGCAGGTGGTGATCCCTACCCCACAACAATGCAGAAAATGCTGGCACTTTGGCCACCCAGCAAAATATTTCAGGCAGAATGCCCTGTCTGTGGTGCAGCTGACCTTAGTAGTCCATCCTGTGGCCACGCTTCCTCTTGCTTTACCTACAAAGAGGCACACCCTGCCTATTCTCACTATTGCCTGATTTTCTTGAGAAAGGGAGATCCGCTGACTTAGAAAGACGGCTTTTCTTACATCATGGCATTTTCCCATTTCTGCCTCCAAGGGAGACTCCCATGGCTCTCTTCCAGGATCACTACACTGCCCCAGGCCTCAGTGGTGCCAGCTTCCACAATTGCCTGTGCCCCTTACTTCTGGAGTCGACTGTGTGTCTAATCCTTTTATAGTCTGGGTTCTGTTGTTCCAACCCCATCATTTCTTACTGTCCCTACTTCACCTTCCCACTCATGTTCCAACATCTATAAGCCTCCTCCAGTCGACGCCAAGTACCCTTTATTCTCCAAAATCTACAACTTCACTTGCATCCAAATCTCCTTCAACTCCCTAACCATACGGCATTACCAAATGTCATGCCATGCTGGAAGAAGATTCGTCTGTAAAAACTTGCATTTGTGGTCACAGTGGTGCCTATGCTAACCTTCTTGTAGCCGGCTGGCCCAGTGGCTAGCGCGTCGGTCTGAAGTTTTATGACTGATCATGGGTTCCATCCCCGCCTGTGGTATGGTTTGATTATTTTTTCACCAGATGGCCTCTCTGATACTCCATTGTACCTGTATAGCTCCTGTACCCTCAACATGATACGGTCTAATTTCTCAGCCTTCTGATTGCTGGATATCCCAGAAACCTCACATTACCTACCTGAAAGCAACTTGCCAGTAGGCTGAGCCTCCTTAAAGCCCTAGTTCATCTATCATGTTGGGCAGATCGTTGAACTCTACTTCGACTGCATCAGCTCTAATCTTATCAAAACTAGACTATGGTGACCAGATATATTCTGCGGCCTCTCCCACAACTTTTTCTAAACTTGATCCCATCCATTATCAAGGTGCTTTTCACTCCTTTCCTGTCGAGAGCCTATTATTATTATCAAGGGGGAGCACTAAACCCATAGGATTATGCAGTGCCTGTGGAAGGTATTCAGGTTTAATTCAGGGAACCAGAGCATAGATCCAATTTCCTAGATCAAGAGCCCCTCACCAACATCAAGGAACCTTCCTTGAGGGGTCAAGAGCCTATATGCAGAGACTGATCGATGTGATCCCCACTGCTTCCGTTATTTTGTCAGCTGTCATGACCTTCACGATCCTTCTACATACAGGATAGTTACGTAACAGACATTAGTAGAGGTCCATTAAATGTTCATTGCCCCTGTTTACTGTCCCTTTTCTCTCTCTCCACTCGCTCTTGACTTCTCTTCAATTGCCCCATATATGTCCATCTAGCATCTAATTTTTCTTTCCCCTTGGGAGGTTCCGACAGTTCAGGTCTGTTCTTCTCCACTACTGTGGCCAAAAGCTCAAATACCTACAGTTGTTACTCGCTCCCTTTTTCTCAACCACTCCAGTCTCATTCTCATGTTGTTGCAGTTTACACTGATAGTTCTAAATCCTCTGGTGTCAGGTTTGCAGCAGAGTTTCCAGACAGTGTTGTGCGAGGTCATTTATTAGATTCGGTTAGCATTTTCACAGCTGAACTGTATGTAGTTCTCATAGCAATTATCCGTATTGCATCCAGGCTTACCTCAACATTTATAATAGTCTCAGACTATTTTAGTGCTTTGCAACCTATCAAAAAATTTAATTCGCCAAATCCCCTAGTTCTTCATATACAACTTTGGTTGTACTGCATTTCTAGCAGAAACAAAGAAATAAAGTTGATGCTCAGGGCAATGAGCTGGCAGACTCTGCTGTCCAGTACATGACCTTCCAGTTTCATACAGAGGTATTCCATTCTCAGATTATTTTGCTGTAACCTCTAGCCACTTTTGCAACCCTTTATCTGAATTGATTCATAACAAATTACATTCTATCACGTTAAGTTTAGGATCCTGTTCTTATCATCATCGATGCCCTCGTTGGGAGGCTACATTTTCCCATCTTCGCATCGGGCACACGCATCTCACTCATGGGTATATCATGGAGAGGTGCTCAGTTCCATTGTGTGAATTGTCTGGTTCCAATTTCAGTTTGTCTATCGGCAAACACACAATTTACTTTTGACGTCACCGCTCTAACATGCTTACACTATCTTCCCTCCTAGCTGATAGCCCCACCTTTGACACAGACTCCCTCTTTGACAGCAACAGATTTACTACACAACCTTTGATTATACTTCCTTTAGCACCCCTCGCCACCCTTACTAATTCTACCCATTATACTTTATGCTTCATATGAAACTAGCAAGGCGGATTACACAATTCACACACCTTACCTTGCAGCGATGAATGACTCCTGGGTTTAGCACTTTAGGTTTTGATTATGATAACTAGATGGGGAACCAGAGGTGGTGCATCCTGAGATGGGTGGGTGATCTGAAAATCATCGTACTGTATGGACAGAAGCCAGAGGCATGGTTAAAGACGTGCAGAGGTCAGATGTATCAAGAGTCGAGCAGAACTTCAGTATCAGAGATAGGCAACAAAATGTTACCTGGAGAAGGTACCAGGGTGTTAGAGAGGTCTGAAGAATGGTCTAATAATGAGGCAGGGTTGTGAGGGGGTGCCACAGGAGAAAGGGGTCCAGGAGGAGGAAACTCATGGATATGGGATGCCATGATACAGCTTTTTTTTTTTCCAAAAGAAAAAAAAAAGTATGTGGAGGGGTACCTCCTAGGAGGAATGAAAGGAAGTGTATATCCCCCTCTGCACCCAAGAGGGTCCTCAGTGAAGATGTAGTGTGGAACCTGTGCCCTACACTACCCTTCACACTGGTAAATTGGCAATTCAGGATAGCAACCTCACATCTTTTGTAGATGAATGGTTCAGAGAATCAATAAAGATACCCAAGAGTTGCACATGTGTCTAATTTATCAACATGTCGGTTCTCTGAACCATTCATCTACAAACCTGTCAGACACTGCAACTTCTTGGGATCTTAATACTTGGGAATTCTTCGCTTGCCTAATTCTTGGGCATGACCTACTTCCACATTGAACAAATGTGACACCACCTATGACTGCTGCACCTCTCCTGCCTACGGTTTATAAACTCCTTCTCCGCACGTATGCCGTATTCTATTCAAGATTGATGGACTGACCACATCGACTCAAGGTTGAGGGACTGATTACCTCATTCTCCTACTGTTCTCCAAGATTCTCCTTTGTATGGACTGATGAAGCCACTGTGTGGCGAAACGTTTCCTCAATAAAGATACCCAAGAGTTGCACGTGTCTAATTTATCAACCTCACATCCACTGAGCCACCTCAGCAGACAAAAGACAGGGCAGTCACAAACCCGCCACAAGGCATACCTCCTTTGGACACCACCTCCCTGAATCAACAGGCAGCCTCTTAAGATACATCAATCACACAAACACATTGTACGCCACCCTCCCGAACCCCAGAGGATGGATCAGAGCATCCCCAGATCCTGATTCCATGGCAACCACCACCACCACCAAGGGACTCTATGGAATGGTACCAACATCGACATCCTTCCCCCAACCAAAGAGCTAGAATACTGAAGGGGAGGACCCCAAAGGTCGAAAATAGGAAAGGAAGGAGAGGGGAGGGATGGGGAATGGAGAAGGAATGGGAAGGATGGGGTAGGGAAGGGAGTGGAGGGCAGTTAGGTTTAGTCGGAAGAAGACAAAGGTCCAATTCCTCAGACCAAAAGCCTTTTCACCACAGCAAAGATCCCCCCATAAAGAAGTCATGAGAGACAAAAGATCAGCAATCGTGCCAAAAAAAATTACAAGAGGATCAGTTTCGCTCATTTGAAAGGATGGCAGTACCTTCCTGGATCGCTGGTGTTTATCAGCCTACTACTACTACTACTACTACTACTAAACAAAACTACTTAGCATAACATTTTATTTTCAAAAAAATAAGGCAACATATAAAATTAAATGTCAATATATAACATGTTTTAACTTATGAGGGCAACATTAACTGATTCACAATGTTTTTAACACACAGGCCACCTCTCACCGAGGCAGTGAGACCCAAAAAAGATAACATTTTTCCTTTTTACATTTAGTAATTTATACAAGAAAGGGGTCTTACTAGCCCCTTGCTCCCAGCATTTTAGTCACCTCTTACAACACGTGTGGCTTAGAGGAAGAATTCTCCATGGAGATCGATTCATAATAATCTCATGAACTTAATGAGCTGCATCAGCAGTCACTATTTCAAACCACTGTCGGAGAGCTGTAGCTAGAGCATTTGGTAGTGTCTCTAAGTCGCGTACAACCAGGAAAAATGGGAAGGGAAAAGACTCTACTAGTGGTTGCATTGTGCCTTTGTCAAATACCAATACATCATAAAATGAATATTTGTTGTCCTTTGCATCCAAGACTAGAAAAACAATAAATATTCTGGCTGCTCGGGCTGCTCTTACAGCTGCTTTAACAGTTTCTGACCTTGTTTGTGTCTGACCATCACTCAGAATGAGCAGCAGCTGAGCAGTATCAGGATTTCCATGGCTACTAGCAGCTCTGGACCCATTCATCAGTGCTACACTATCCTCTAGCATACGACCAAAATTGGTTACTTTCTGATCAAACTTAAGGTTAGCAAGAACTCTGCTACCTGATAATTCACTGAATGGCTCATCAAAAGGGTGAAGAATATGAGTGGATTCCCCAAAACTAATAACCCCCAGTTGTCCAGCATCCAGCAGTGTGAGAGCACGGGTCACAAGGGCTACACTTTCTATGGCAAGGCTACCTGAATGTGCTTCAGCCATAGATTCAGAATCGTCAACAGCTACCAAAATTTGATAATTTCGTTTGCTAGGTTGTGTTCTTCGAAGCCATATCTTGTCCTTGCGAAACTGTGAGGCTATGTAAGGTATCACTTTTCGCATATTCAGCCTTTTGCCTGTTCTATAATCACCACGTAATCTGGCTGCATGCGTTGGCTCCAAGATTAGGCGTAACTGTTCACATAACTGTAGAGCTATAGGAGCCACACGTGCTTCCTGTTGTGTCCAAGATAAGCCATCATCCTCAGTGTAAGAGCGCACAACTTCTATCTGACGTCTTGTTTCCTCCACATCTTCGTCAAATCTGGCAACCGCCTTTTCCTCTTCTTCATCTATATTTTTAACAATATAATCATTAGTGTATTAAAATACATGGCAATAAGTACATCAAAATCACAGTATTTTACACTGAAATGTTACATGAGTAGTATCTGCACTGCTAACTTGAACACAAGCAATGAGGCAACACTGTGTGAAGGCCAAACACATACAAAAAAGTAATAATTCACAGATTATCTTCATAAAAACTGTTTCACGTTATTTTCCTTTTGCTTATATATCTCCACTAAGAATGAGAAAAAAAGTAAATTTTTGGAAACTTGCATTATCACAGATAAAAGCATACTTACTTTCACTTAGTATGAGTGTGTGGAAGTATGTCTCTGGTGGTCGTTGCATTGTGGACTCAAGTACAGCCTCCCCCTCTGTAACCATCTGTGCTTCACCTTCACCCTGAGGATCACCTTTGCCCTGGCTTCTGTCATGGTTTTCTTTCTTCTTGTTATCTTGGGATACTGCCTCCTTTTCCTCTGCCAGGTTTTCCTCCTCATCCTGTATACAGGAAAATTTTATAAACATTTTATTACTTTTCCAATTGAATGTATTTATATATAAAAAAAAAATTTGTAAATACAAAAATTGTAAGTGAATTCTGATACAGCTCAGAACAAGTTTCAAGAAAATTTTACCATCTTGAATTGCATACCTCCATAGGAGTTTCTAAGAGTTCTTCATTCTCTTGTAATTTATCATCACCTTCTATGTCTGCTGGTGCTTCATTGGCCTGTTCCTGGGAACCAACATCAACAATCTGGGCATCAAAGTAATCTTCCGCCTTGTTAATATGTTCATACAAAGAGTTCTTCTGCTCTGCATCATTCTCATGATTCTATTAACAAAGAAAGTTAAGTAAAATTAAAACAAATATCAGAAATACAAATACATAATTTGTGACAAAAGTACAATAAACGATGTATATAACAGTATTTTTATAAAATATCACCAACATAGAAAACCAGCCAAATCACAGAGAATGAATTAAAACAGAATTTATGAGTTGGTCCATTTAGATAGGCATCTAAAGGGATGTTGAGCTCACTACATCACCTGATGTTATGTTTTAATAACTAATTAAGAGTTGAGAAATACAGATTTTAATAACACATTCATCAAGAGTACTAAACACATACAGGTCTTACAGAGCCAGGGTATATGGGAGGCAATCAGGTTTCAATCAAAGGAAAGGGAGGATAAGTACAATTCCTTTGCTCAAGAACCCCTCACCTGCATCATGGTACAGTAAAACATCCCATTAATGGACTTCTCATTCAAAGATTTCAGTTGAGAAAGCCAAGGGAACAAATGGATTTGACAGTTAAACCATACCATGGGCGAGATTGAACCCGCGGTCAAAGAGTATGGGGAAAATGGCGGGAATATTTGAGGAACCGTTAAATGTTGATGAAGAAAGGGAGGCAGTGATTTCATGTAATGGACAGGGAGGTACAACATCATTTAAGAGTAAGGAAAAGCCAGATGTGAGTGGTGGAGGTGCATGAGGCTGTAGGTAAAAATGAAAGGGGGTAAAGCAGCTAGGATTGATGAAATCATGAGAAATATTAAAAGCAGGTGGGGATATCATTTTGGAGTGGTTGGTACTTTTGTTCAATGAATGTATGAAAGAGGGGAAGGTACGCAGGGACTGGCAAAGAGCATGCATAGTTCCTTTGTATGAAGGGAAGGGGGACAAGGGTAAAAATTATGGGGAAATAAGCCTACTGAGTATACCATATAAAGTGTATGGTAGGATTATTACTGAAAGAATTATGGGTAAGACAGAAAGCAGAACTGCAGATGAACAAGGAGGCTTTAGAAAGGGTAGGAGATGTGTAGATGATGTGATTACAGTGTAGCACGTGAATAATATTTAGATAACGGAAGGGAAGTTTTCGTTGTTTTTATGGATTTAGGAAAGGCATATGGATATGGGAACAATGTGGCAGATGTTGCAAGTGTATAGAAGAGGTGGTAGAACACTGAATGCTGTTAAGAGTTTTTAAAAGGACAGTGAGGCTCAAGTTTGAGTGTGTAGGAGAGGAGATTACTTTCCAGTAAAAGTAGGGCTAGGACAGGGATGTGTGTTGTCACCATGGTTGTTTAACATTTATAGATGGAGCTGTAAAAGAACAACTGGGACCAGGTGAACTATGTCTTATATGAAACATGTTGGGAAGATATCTTAAATACCATGGATCCAAACCAGTACCTTGAAAGGATCAACTTCCTGGCAGCTGAAGTATGTTCAGGGCACATTCCCCTAAGAAAGAAGAAATAAATTGGAGAAAGGCACTCCCTCTACAGAAGACAACGAAGAATCATTGAGCTCCTCAAGAACACTAGATCTGATACACAGAAGGAAGCACTGACCAGAGAAGAAGAAAGTATCAAACTTAAGTTAAAGGACTTGTGCAGGATCCTGGAGAGACAGGAGCTAAAAGCAATTAGTGAAATTGAAAGAAATTCGAAATATTTCTTTTCAAATGCCAAAAACAAGGCAAATATCACATCTAGTATCAGGACCTTGCTCAGACAAGATAGGACTTACACAGATAACAACAAAGAAATGAGCGAGATGCTGAAATCCCAACACGACTCCATGTTTAGTGAGCCGCTAATCAGTCTAAAGATGACAATCCAAATGATTTCTTCATGAATGAGCCTCAAAACTCCATCAATGTATGCCAGATTTCCGACATTACCCTAACTAGAATAGACTTTGAGAAAGTCACTGACAACATGATAATGCACTTAGCCCCAGGGCCACTCCAGGAAATCTGTATTCATTAAAAACTGCAAAAAAAAAAAAAAAAAAAAAAAAAAAAAAAAAAAAAAAAACTTTCAAGTGCCTTAAGTATACTATAGAGAAGGAGCTTAGACATGGGTGAAATTCTACAACAGATATAGCCCCACTCCATAAAGGTAGTAGCAAAGCATTAGCTAAGAACTATAGATCAATAGCTCTAACATCCCACATCATTAAAATCTTTGAAAGAGTGCTAAGAAGCATGACTGCAAACCACTTGGATTCCCAAAAACTGCACAATCCAGGGTAACATAGGTTCTGAGCAGGTTGCTCCTGCCTCTTGCAACTACTGGATCACTATGATATGGTCTTGGATGCATTGGAAGAAAAAAAGAATACAGATGTAATATACACAAACTTTGCAGAAGTTTTTGACAAGTGCAATCATGGTGTAATAGCACACAAAATACATGCTAAAGGAATAATTGTCTAAGCGTGGAGATGGATCTTCAACTTTCTAACTAATCGAACACAAAGAGTAGTGGTAAACAGTTAAATCAAAAGCTGTCATAGAGAAAAGCTCTGTTAAACAAGGCACAGTATTTGCTCCCATCCTGTTCTTCATCCTCATATCAGACATAGACAGAGATGTAATCCACAGCACCATGTCATTCTTTGCAGACGATACTAGGATCTGCACAAGACTGCCATCTATTGAGGACACGGTTAATCTCCAAGAAGATATAAACCAAGTTTTCCAGTGTGCAATGGAAAACAATGTGATGTTCAATGAAGACAAATTCCAACTACTCTCTTATGGAAAAACTGGAGGAGATAAAACTGAGAACTGAATATACCACAAACTCTGATCATACAATAGAGCGAAAAAATAATGTGAGGAACATGGGAGTGGCAATGTCTGAGGATCTCACTTTCAAGGATCACAACAGTGCCATGATCACAACTGCAAAGAAAATGATAGGATGGATAATGAGAAAGTTCAAAACAAGAGATGCCAAGTCAATGATGATCCTTTTTAAATCACTTGTTCTCACTAGGCTGGAATACTGCTGTATTAATATATTAACATCTCTACTCAAAGCAGGTGAAATTGCAGATTTAGAGTGTGTAGAGAACCTTTACTGCACATATAAGTTCCATCAAACACCAACTACTGGGAATGCTTGGAAGCACTTCACCTGTACTTGCTGGAACACAAGCTAGAGAGATATATCATAATCTACAATTGGAAAATTCTAGAAGGAATGGTCCCAAATCTGCACACAGAAATCACTCACTACGAAAGTAAAAGACTGGGCAGGCGGTGCAAAGCACCCCCAATGAAAAGTAGGGGTGCCATTGGTACACTTAGAATAAACACCGTAAGTGTCCGGGGCCCAAGACTGTTCAACAGCCTCCCACCATGCACAAGGGGAATTATCAAGAGCCCCCTGGCTGCCTTCAAGAGGGAGCTGGATAGATACTTAAAGTTGGTGCCAGATCAGCCAGGCTGTGAAATGTATGTTGGATTACATGCGGCTAGCAGGAACAGCCTGGTTAATCAGGCCCTGATCCACTGGGAGGCCTGGTCTTGGACCAGGCTGCAGGGGCATTGATCCCTGAAATATCCTCCAGGTAGACTCCAGGTAAGGTGGTTTACCTGGAGAGAGCTCTGGGGGTCAATGCCCCCGTGGCCCGGTCTGTGACCAGGCCTCCTGGTGGACCAGAGCCTGATCAACCAGGCTGTTGCTGCTGGCTGCACGCAATCCAACATACGAGCCACAGCCCGGCTGGTCAGGTACCGACTTTAGGTGCTTGTCCAGTGCCTGCTTGAAGACAGCCAGGGGACTATTGGTAATCCCCCTTATGTATGCTGGGAGGCAGTTAAACAGTCTCAGGCCCCTGACACTTATTAAAATATGCAGAATCTATAATACAAAATGGGAGTTGTCACAGTTACTTTTTGCTGATGACACTATGCTTTTGGGAGATCCTTAAGAGGAGTTGTAAAGGTTAGTGGACGAATTTGGGCGGGTGAATAAGGAAGTTGAAAGTGTACATGGATAAGAACAAGGTGATGAGGGTAATAAACAAGTTAGGCAATGAAAAACTGGATATCAGAGTGGAAGAAGAGAATGTGTTCAGATATCTGGAAGCTGCTTTGCTAGCAGATTGGTATATGAAAAGCAAGGCAAACCACAGAACTGATGAAGGGAAAAAGGTGGGTGATGCATTGAGGTATCTGTGGAGACAAAGAATGTTATCCATGAAAGCAAAGAGAGGATTGAATGAGAGTATAGTGGTACTAGCACTCATATATGGGTGTGAAGCTTGGGTTGTGATTGCTGCACCGAGGTGGTTGGAGGCAGTGGAGATGTCGTGTCTGAGGGCAATGTGTGGTGTAAATATTATGCAGATAATTCGCAGTTCGAAGATTAGGAAGAAGTGTGCAGTTACTGAAAGTATTATTCAGAGAACTGAGGAGAGGTTGTTGAGGTAGGTTGGCTATTTAGAGACTTTTTTTTTTTTTTTTTCAACAAGTCGGCCGTCTCCCACCGAGGCAGGGTGACCCAAAAAAAAGAAAGAAAATCCCCAAAAAGAAAATACTTTCATCATCATTCAACACTTTCACCACACTCGCACATTATCACTGTTTTTGCAGAGGTGCTCAGAATACAACATTTTAGAAGCATACACATAAAAAGATACACAACATATCCCTCCAAACTGCCAATATCCCAAACCCCTCCTTTAAAGTGCAGGCATTGTACTTCCCATTTCCAGGACTCAAGTCCGACTATATGAAAATAACCGGTTTCCCTGAATCCCTTCACTAAATATTACCCTGCTCACACTCCAACAGATCGTCAGGTCCCAAGTACCATTCGTCTCCATTCACTCCTATCTAACATGCTCACGCACGCTTGCTGGAAGTCCAAGCCCCTTGCCCACAAAACCTCCTTTACCCCCTCTCTCCAACCCTTTCGAGGACGACCCCTACCCCGCCTTCCTTCCCCTATAGATTTATATGCTTTCCATGTCATTCTACTTTGATCCATTCTCTCTAAATGACCAAACCACCTCAACAACCCCTCTTCTGCCCTCTGACTAATACTTTTATTAACTCCACACCTTTTCCTAATTTCCACACTCCGAATTTTCTGCATAATATTTACATCACACATTGCCCTTAAACAGGACATCTCCACTGCCTCCAACCATCTCCTCGCTGCTGCATTTACCACCCAAGCTTCACACCCATATAAGAGTGTTGGTACTACTATACTTTCATACATTCCCTTCTTTGCCTCCATAGATAATGTTTTTTGACTCCACATATACCTCAACGCACCACTCACCTTTTTTCCCTCATCAATTCTATGATTAACCTCATCCTTCATAAATCCATCCGCCGACACGTCAACTCCCAAGTATCTGAAAACATTCACTTCTTCCATACTCCTCCTCCCCAATTTGATATCCAATTTTTCTTTATCTAAATCATTTGACACCCTCATCACCTTACTCTTTTCTATGTTCACTTTCAACTTTCTACCTTTACACACATTCCCAAACTCATCCACTAACCTTTGCAATTTTTCTTTAGAATCTCCCATAAGCACAGTATCATCAGCAAAAAGTAACTGTGTCAATTCCCATTTTGAATTTGATTCCCCAAAATTTAATCCCACCCCTCCCCGAACACTCTAGCATTTACTTCCTTTACAACCCCATCTATAAATATATTAAACAACCATGGTGACATTACACATCCCTGTCTAAGACCTACTTTTACTGGGAAGTAGTCTCCCTCTCTTCTACACACCCTAACCTGAGCCTCACTATCCTCATAAAAACTCTTTACAGCATTTAATAACTTACCACCTATTCCATATACTTGCAACATCTGCCACATTGCTCCTCTATCTACTCTATCATATGCCTTTTCTAAATCCATAAATGCAATAAAAACTTCCCTACCTTTATCTAAATACTGTTCACATATATGCTTCAATGTAAACACTTGATCTACACATCTCCTACCCACTCTGAAACCTCCTTGCTCATCCACAATCCTACATTCTGTCTTACCTCTAATTATTTCAATTATAACCCTACCGTACACTTTTCCTGGTATACTCAGTAAACTTATTCCTCTATAATTTTTACAGTCTCTTTTGTCCCCTTTCCCTTTATATAAAGGGACTATACATGCTCTCCGCCAATCCCTAGGTACCTTCCCCTCTTTCATACATTTATTAAACAAAAGTACCAACCACTCCAACACTATATCCCCCCCTGCTTTTAACATTTCTGTCATGATCCCATCAGTTCCAGCTGCTTTACCCCCTTTCATTTTACGTAATGCCTCACGTACCTCCCCCCACACTTACATCCTGCTCTTCTTCACTCCTAAAAGATGGTATACCTCCCTGACCAGTGCATGAAATTACTGCCTCTGTTTCTTCCTTAACATTTAAAAGTTCCTCAAAATATTCTCGCCATCTACCTAATACCTCCCTCTCCCCATCTACTAACTCCCCTACTCTGTTTTTAACTGACAAATCCATACTTTCCCTAGGCTTTCTTAACTTGTTTAACTCGCTCCAAAATTTTTTCTTATTTTCATTAAAATTTCTTGACAGTGCCTCTCCCACTCTTTCATCTGCTATCCTTTTGCACTCTCTCACCACTCTCTTTACCTTTCTTTTACTCTCCATATACTCTGCTCTTCTTATAACACTTCTGCTTTGTAAAAACCTCTCATAAGCTACCTTTTTCTCTTTTATCACACCCTTTACTTCATCATTCCACCAATCACTCCTCTTTCCTCCTGCCCCCACCCTCCTATAACCACAAACTTCTGCCCCACATTCTAAAACTGCATTTTTAAAACTATTCCAACCCTCTTCAACCCCCCCCCCACTACTCATCTTTGCACTAGCCCACCTTTCTGCCAATATTCGCTTATATCTCACCCGAACTTCCTCCTCCCTTAGTTTATACACTTTCACCTCCCTCTTACTTGTTGTTGCCACCTTCCTCTTTTCCCATCTACCTCTTACTCTAACTGTAGCTACAACTAAATAATGATCAGATATATCAGTTGCCCCTCTATAAACATGTACATCCTGGAGCCTACCCATCAACCTTTTATCCACCAATACATAATCTAATAAACTACTTTCATTACGTGCTACATCATACCTTGTATATTTATTTATCCTCTTTTTCATAAAATATGTATTACTTATTACCAAATCTCTTTCTACACATAGCTCAATTAAAGGCTCCCCATTTACATTTACCCCTGGCACCCCAAATTTACCTACTATATGTACTCCCTCCATAACATTTTTACCCACTTTAGCATTGAAATCCCCAACCACCATTACTCTCACACTTGATTCAAAACTCCCCACGCATTCACTCAACATTTCCCAAAATCTCTCTCTCTCTTCTCTACACTTCTCTCTTCTCCAGGTGCATACACGCTTATTATAACCCACTTTTCACATCCAATCTTTATTTTACTCCACATAATCCTTGAATTAATACATTTATAGTCCCTCTTTTCCTGCCATAGCTTATCCTTCAACATTATTGCTACTCCTTCTTTAGCTCTAACTCTATTTGAAACCCCTGACCTAATCCCATTTATTCCTCTCCACTGAAACTCTCCCACCCCCTTCAGCTTTGTTTCACTTAAAGCCAGGACATCCAGGATGATTTGGAGGATGAATAAATGTTGGAGACTGCCACAGTTAAAGAATTATAAAAATATTTTAAATTAGCTAAATTAAAAAAAAAAATGAAATTTCATCTATATACTGTACATCTTTATCTTGTTGTTGCTGATCTTGCAATTTCTTCATCTCCTTAGTCATTACCCCATGTTGTACATTCTCATTATTGTCTCCTGAAAAATGATAATGATATTATGAGTATAAAGTTCATTTAAATAATACGGCCAATGTGTTAAAAAATTTTTTTTGATATATAAAAAAATTTACCTTAAACTATTTTGAAACTGAAAAATACAAAAGCAGATTCACACACAGCCAAGAACAATGGGTGATATTGTCACATAATATTTTTAATAGTGATTTCATACTGCATTGTCTTACCCAGTGTCCTATCTTCATCTCTTTGACCAGGTTTACGAGGCTTCTTCATATCGTTCTGATCATTGGCAGATGCTTGGGTGACCAAGGCAGAAGAATCTCCTTTGTGTGCATCATCACGGGTGCGACTTTCAGACTGACCCACACCTTCCTGGTCATCTGTCTGCTCACCTACCTGACCATGTTCCTCTTGCAGTTCCTCTTCATTGTCTTCCCGCTGTATACTTTGGTCCGACTTTGGCTGTTCCTGTTTGTAAAATTAAATTTTACTGAAAATTGTATATTCAGGAGGTGGTTTTGTGACATATCAGTGACTGGTTTTAAGTGTCCATCTCCTCTAGTTGCCTTTCCAAAAGTTCAGACATAGTCCAGTGTGACCCACCACTGCAGAATTCCCAACCCACCTGCAAATGTATATGCATCATACTTCTCAACCTCAAAAACTCAATTCAAGAGATTTACCTTGCTCACACTCTTAACAGTACATAAAATCCTGAAAGAGAGAGAGAGAGATGAAGAATCAACATACACAACCTGGCTGTAGGAGACGTAACTGTGTATTCACCTATATGTAGTTGCAGGGGTCAAGTCTCAACTCCTGGCCTTGCCTCTTCACTGGCTGCTGCTGGGTTCACTTTCTTCTGGCATCAATAGCCTTATTATACCACTTCTTAAAGCAATGTATGAATCCTGCCTCTACCACTGCACTCTCCAGATTATTCCACTTCCTGACAGCTCTAAGGCTAAAGAAATACTTTCTAACATTCCTAAGAGTCATCTGAGTTTTCAACTTCGCCCTCTTGTTCTTATTTCTCATCTCTGTCCCTGTTTGCATTGTGTATGTGTTTGCAAATACATACACAGTGGACCCTCGGTTCTTGTGTTTAATCCATTCCAGAGCGATTGGCAAAAACAGAAACCATTTTCCCCATGAGAAATAATGTAAATCCAAATAATCCGTTCCAGACACTCAGAAATATTAACAAAATTTTTTTTTTTTACCATATAGATAGATTTACATGCACAAAAGAATGAACATTCAACATGACACTTACCTTTATTGAAGGTTGTTGTTGATGGATGGAATACAGGGAGGAAGGGAGAGGGAAGAGGTTATTCTTTGGAAAGGGAATCCCCCTCCATAAGGACTGTAGGTACCAAGTCCTTATCTGGGGTCACTACCCTCCTTTGTTTTTTAATGCCACTAGGACCAGCTTGAGAGTCACTGGACTCCTGTCACACAAAATATCTGTCCAGATAGGTCTGTTTCTGGCATCTCTAAGATTTGCCTGAAATGGGACATGACACTGTCATTGTAAAAGTCGCCAGCATGGATTGCAACAGCTTTCTCGGGGTGATGCTCCTCCACAAATGAATGCACCTTTGTCCACATTGCACAAATCTCTCTTCCTCCTCCTCTGAAGCAATTTCCTGAGCTGTGGTCTGTTGCTATTGCAGATGAAGCTCTTGCAGCTCATCAGTGGTTAGCTCTTGATTATGGTCCTCCACCAACTCTTCCACAGCCTCTCCACTCACATCCAACCCCAGGGAATTCCCAATGCCACAATTGATTGCACAACAGGTGTAGGGTCGGCAGGGTCAGCCTCAAATCCTTCAAAATCCTTCTTTTGGACACAATCTGGCCATCCCAATAACAATTTCTCCACTTCTTCTACTGCTTGGGATCTCTGTTTGATTATCGCATTCACCCCTTTCGCAACATCAGCTTCCGTGATTTCTTTTCTCTTTGCTACAATGGATCTAATCGTTGATGGCACCTTCCTGTACATCCTGCTGAGTTCGGCTATGCGTATGCCACTATCATATTTTGGAATTTCTTTTTTCATTTCTATGGTGTTCCTCACTTTCTTTAACACAGGACTAGCACTAAGAGCTTTCTTTGGGGCCATGGTGGCTTATTTAGCATTCATGCAGAATAAACAAGTGTCAAAAGCAATGGATTACAAAATGTTTCATATGACCTGGCAGGATATGCTCACTCACCGAGAAACAATGCGACACTGCCTGAGAATGCGTGTGGGAGGCGGCTTTGTCTGCGCGCTGGGCACTGGACAGGTTCCGCACCATTGACGAAAACGGAACCAAAATATTGATGAAAAAAAGTTGACGAAAACAGAAATTCGCAATAACAGAGATCGACGAAAAGGGAGGGTCCACTGTATGCAAAAATGTGCAAATAGTAGCTACCTCTATGAACTCTCTGACCTGTCTAATTTTGAGCATGTACTGTACTTACAATTCAACAGGTAAAATGAACACCCTTGAGAAAGGCTGTTCATTTTACGTGTTGCATTTCCAGCTTGGTATATTTTGGACCACATTAACAGATGTAAGTATAAATTGTGCACAGTTAAAGGGTTAAAATTATTTTTTTCCTACTTCAAATTAGTGAAGCATGCAAACTACCAGAGATTTACATAAATCATTCAACTATTCTCCATGGAATGTGCAAACAAAAGGTAACTGTTTAATATATACAGGGAGAATAATGAAGATAAACTTTAAAATCTTACCTATCACTAGAATGAAATAGTATATGGAAGAGGTGAATAGTTAGGTAAAATACAGTAATTTAGTTTTAATATAAAAAGCATAAAGTGTGAATAAATACTAATAGATTATTGCCAGTTGTGTAGATTATTAGGCAGTTTCTCCATGAATACATTAGACTGCTGATGTATAGATAACTAGATAAGTTTCGTCAGGTAATACAGTGGAACCTTGGTACTCGAACTTAATTCATTCCAGAAGGCTGTTCGAGTGCCAATCTGTTCGAGTACAAAACAAATTTTTCCCATAAGGAATAATGTAAATTAGATTAATCTGCTTCAGACCCCCAAAAATACACTTACAAAAGCATTTTAGCATGAAGTTTAACCCTTTCAGGGTCGATAGGCCCTCTCCTAAACTCGTTCTCAGGGTCGGAAATTTTTTGAAAAAAAAAAAAAAAAAAAAAAAAAAAAAAAAAAAAAAAAAAAAAAAAAAAAAAAAAAATCTTATGAAATGATAAGAGAATCGTTTCCCGATCATAATGACACCAAAAGTATAAAATTTGATGGAAAACTTATGGAATTATCCTCTCGCGAAATTAGTGGTCTCGACGATGTTCACGCATCGGCGATTTCACCCAATTTGAGCCCTATTTTCGGCCAATTCCAATGTAACAGTCGACAAAAATCATAACTATTTCGCTAGAACTCCATTTTTTCTATCGAATGAGTACAAAAAACCATCCATTTACCGATTTCAACTATCCAATAAAGTGGTCAGAAATTGGCAATTTTGCCAGTTTCACACAAATTTCAAAAGATGCCAATTTTCAAATAGGGTACAGAATAAACAAGACAGACATTCCTGGCACTAAAATAACATTTTTTTCTGTTCATTAGTCAAGTTCCCAGGCCTCTCTTACATTTCTTTTGCTTTCCACTTTGAATTTTTATTCTCACAAAAAAAATAGAAGATTTACTGTTATGCAGACTATTGCATTAGTGTAGAAATGGTATAAATAATATCAGTGCATTTGTGAAAGAATATTAGACTCACCAGTTGACATGTATTGGATGCATGGTATGATTTGTTTACTTTTAAACTTCGGCAAAAATCGAACATTTCTGCTACTTTGAGCTCAATTTCAAGGTACTTTTCATTGTGAAACCAATCAAAATCATCTCAATTTCCTGTAATATGTCTTCCATTCTATAAAATGAGGCCAAGAAAACTAGAATACAACCATAAATAGCATATGAAAATACATGTACACTGCAAAGTCGCTGTTTTAAAGCAAAAACACGGTTGGAGTTTGTTTTTTTCTCATTATGCACTGTGTGCTGCATGATTTTTTTTTATACTGTGCACACTGACCACACAGACCCATTCTTTCATATGTAGGCCTACCAGCTTTCTCTCGCTAGATTTGAAGGCGCTAAAATTTATGCATACTAGTACGACACCAACCCTGGTTAAAAGCCTAGCATGCATAAATCTAAAAAAGAAAAAAGCTAAACACAATGCTTGTCTATCCGAGTGATAGACAAGCAAGAGCTTCACTTTTAAATTACCACATGCATTCCAGCACAACTATAGAGCAAGTTTGTCCTTCGTTAGGTTGTGTCCACGCAATCTTCACTTGAGTGACATACTGTAGGTTCTATTTGGCATTTTTTTCAAAATAAACCTGTCTCATCACAACTGAACATTTGTTGGGGAATAAAACCCTCAGCCTCTACATAGTCACTAACCTCACTGACATATTTCTTGGCAGCAGGTAGTGTTTGTTTGGTCAATTGTCGAGCAAACAGTCGACTACCGAGCAATTTTTTACCAAACAAAGCCTTAGAATACCGAATTGTACGAGTACGAAGGTTCCACTGTACTTCATCACCTGGGCCATTATGGAAACATTAGAATGGTGACAAAAAGAAAAGGCAGGTAGGTAGTTAGTTGCAACATTAATGAAGCATTTAGACCACAGTAGTCACTCAGCACTCACTCACAAGCATAAAAAATTAAACACAATAAAAAAGATGAAATCAGCAAATAAAAGCATTGAACATAAAAACATCATAGCAATGAACATAAAAACATCATAGCAATGAACATAAAAAGAACAAAAATAAATACTATCATAGCAATGAACAAACACACAACACAAAAAGTATCATCCAAAGCAACAAAAGCCAGCATCAATTAAAAAATATCAAAATTATTAATGTCAAATGTACTCTCCCAGCACAAACCAAAAGCAAGACAATAAACCAATCTGGTTGTAGAAATTATTAAACAACTGTTAAAAAATGAGTATCACCAATTTTCTCTCAAATTAACTAGCTATCCAGATTTTCTTATATACAGCACTTTTATAAGAAGAAAAATACAAAATCTAATGTGCACATCTGATCTTAAATTTATTCAAAAAGTATTTTTTACAGCATTCATTTAACCCATAAACGGTCCAAACGTATATATACGTTTTTACCGCTAGTGCCCCAAACGTACATATACGTTTTATTTGTCACACATTCAACATTGCCACGATAAGCCTGAGTCACCTAGACATAAGAGAATGGGTATGTGCACTCACTGTGCGTCATATTAAAATAGCTGGGTATGCCTGGGTACCATATGCTCTTTTTTCCTATTAAAAAACAAAGATTTTTTTCTCAAAAAATTTGGGGCACTAAGGGAGAGAACGTATATACGTTTGGACTGTTTACGGGTTAAATATATACGAAAAATTACTCAAATAGTTTACGGCTAAATTAGTTTTAAAGTTGTAAAGGAATGGAGGTGAAAGAAGTGAATGGAACAAGGAAGAAAAAAAGAAATCATTATATTAATAACTAAGCACTAAACCCATAAGTCATACAGTGGAATAAGGAAATGTAGGGGCAGCAAGAGAGCAGGAAACAAGGAAAGGTGGTAAGAGCTGGGAGAAGGAAAAAGATAAACGAAAAGATATGTAAAACAACATGATACTCATAAAGAAAAAAGCTAGAGAAGTGCAATTAACATATAATAAATTAGAGTGTACTAATTTACAGACCTTAGTTTCATCCTTGCTGCCTTCTGTTGTATCCATCTCTGCTGCTTCTGCAGCAGTCTTACTAACATTGTCTTTTGAAGGATCAGCACATTCTTCATCATTTCTATCTTCTTGAGCATTTTCTATGTCATTTCCTTCTTCTGTACCCTGTTTTCGTTCATCTTTCATGGACTCCTCCGACTGCTTATCTTCATCTTTTCCAGCCATTTCTTCTTCCTGCTCCTCAATGACTTCCTTTTCTTCATTCGCTTTGTTTTGTTCCTCGGTTTCATCATTTTTTTCATCTTTTTCCTTTGGAATACGCTCTTCTTCAGGGAAGACGCCCTTCTCTTCTATTTCCATAGGATTACATTCTCCATCATCACTATCCTCATTATTTGCCTCATTGTCATCTAACTGCATATTATCAGGTAATTCCAATTTATCATCTTCATCTTCCTTTTCCCTGTCAGCTTCACCACCATAAGGATCAGTGAAATTGTCATCATATTCATTACCGTCTTCATCCATTGCATTTTCCTCTCTTGTATCTTCCATTTCTTCCAATTCATTTTTCTTTTTCTGATCTTTATCTCTCTCCTTTTTACTTTTATTGTCATCTTTAGCTACCATTTTTGATTCTGTGACTGCAGCATCACCTGGACCATCCTCATCTTTTTCATCGTTTTCTCCATCTTCACTCTCATTTTCATCATCACCCCACAATTTTTCATCAAGTTTCTCTGCATCTTTTTCAGTTTCTCCCATCTGCTTATCTATATCATTTTCATTGTCTTCATCGCTATCATCTTCATCCCTTTCCTTCTGTTCAACATCTTGCATTTTTCCTTCAAAATCTTCATTCATCTCAATGCCTTGGTCTTCCTCTTTCAAGTCCGCATCACCTGATTTTTCACTTTCACCCTCTTTCAAAGCCGATTCAAGCTGATCCTCAGATTCAATACGTTCTGACACGTCCTTTTGCCCATCTCCTTCTCCAAGACCTGTACCTTCTGAATCCTGGAAGTTTGTAGCGCCTTCACCTTCAGCTTCATTATCCAACTCTTGGGGTCGACAAAAGCCTTTTATTGCAAGCTGTTGGAAAATAGCCAAGACAATGGATGTGAATTTTGTGATGCTTCTGTTACTGCAAACCATCTGTAATAAAACAGTTTCACACATTGCCTGATATTGTTCTAACAGAGGAACTGAAGCTTTAAGTTTTTCTAATAAATTTGGGTGGTTTTCTGCTTCATTCATCAATTTTTGCAATCCACTTACAACTTCCTTCATTCTTAAATTTTTCTGATCAGATTCAAGGTTTTCAACTAAGCCAAGAGTTAACATATCCTTTACAAATTCTTCACTGCTCTTCTCCACAGTACTGTCTACAGAGCAGTGTCTCTTATACATGAATTCAACCCCCAATAAAGCTTGAGTCAAGCAATACTCTAGGTAAGTCAAGTCACCACCATGTTTTGCTATATCCAGTGGCTGAGAATCCACCAAAGTAGAAAGATCCTGGAAAGCAGAGTGCCAATGTGTCAGCCAATGTGTCAGCTGGTTAGTGAGGGGATGCTTCTTTCTATCACCTACTGACAGCAATTTAATAACTTCTTGTAATTTCTTAGCTTCAGCAGTAAGCAGATTCATTGCTGCCAAAAAGCCTTCATAGTATTCTGGAGTCACCAAATGTTGTCCATGTTTGAAGTGAATCAAATATGTAGCAAGCTGTTTTGTCAGACAACATACTATTTCACTGGTTTCATCAAGCCTTCTCTCAGCATCTTGGAACTGTATTTGCTGCAAGACTGTTACATCATTCTGAAGTATCACCACTGGAGCAGTGTTGCTTGAAGTGTTTAAAAGAATACAGGTTTCCTTTATGGTAAGGGAGAGAGATGTTGCTAATGCATGAAGACTTTCAAAGCCACTAACCATTTTGGCAACTGGTATAGGATGTGGTTTGACAGTTTTCAAATCTCTTAACAGAAGGTGGAATTGCCTAATGTAATTACTGACACTGGCCAGAGATCTTCGCTGATTTCGAGCTAATAAAAATAAATGACATGAAAAACCATGCAATCGCTTGGTAAGCTCAGGTCCAAGATCACCATGAGGGTGTTGGAGAGTTTTAAGAAACAGAGTATGGCGACTAATACAACGATTTAAGTATTTCACACATCCAGGCCATACTTCTCTTGCTAACTTAAGTGAGTTTATGAGTGAGTGAGCAATGTCAAGATCTAGAGGTGGTAATGTTAAGCAAGAATCTATGACCTCATCTTGCCAAGAACTGTTGCCACGTGTGTATGTAACACCCATGGAATTCAATGACTTAAACAAACGAGTCAGACAATCCCTTCTTCGCTGCATGATGTTGCGCAACTGCTTCATTCGCACCTCAGATACTGAGATATTCTCAGAACGTGATGCAGCAGCCTGTAGCTCATGATAATTTGTGATAATGCTGGTTGTGACCTCTTCAAGTACATCAACATAGGAAGAATATGGAAGTTTTTTCAAAGTATGGCATGCTAGCTTGTGACAGCGACGAGTGAGTAAGTCTAGTCGACATAAAATTGAATCATTTGTTGCTCTGTTTGCGTGATCCACCATACTGCAAATCGGAGAGATTGTGGGCATGGATACAGCCACTGATACATTGTTAAACTCTTTGTCCCAAGTTCCAGTGTGATCTGGCATCAGTTCTGCATTGTTGTCACAAATGAAAGGTGCAACGGATTGCCTTAACTTTTTCTCCCAGTTCTGCATAAAACGGTGAAGAGTACGATGACTTTTTGTTACAGATTCACGCACAGCAAAATAGTTTATATCATTCCAACGTGCTATCTTTACATAACCCTTGATATCCTTATCTATTGGTTGCCTAAACTTTGAGAGTGTGGAGGACACTAATGGCAGAAATTGTGCATAGTACTGATGGAGGTTCCATGTGAGGGCTAACAATTGCTCTATACTTTTACTTGTTTTCAATACAGCAAGATTACAGTGAAAGGCATAAAGCAATTGTAGACGAGTTTGGAAGTCACCCAAGACTGAAGTTTCCAAGAACTGTTTTATAGTTAAGGATATTTCAGCATGACATACTGTTCCAGTAAGGGCTGCTTGGATTGTATCGTGAAGATGAGGCCACCACTTGCGGCCTTCTGTAGCCACTTTGTGTGTCACAGAGTCTAAACATGAACTCCAAGTATTAAGCTCCAGCTGTCTCCACTCTAATATCTGGTGTGTGACAGCCTCCAGTTGCTCGATCATTGAAACTCCTTTGTGAGCATTTTTCTCCCACTCTTGAGCCTTTTCTAACACTGTTTCAAGACCAACCACATGCCTCATGAGCGGTGAAGTCAAAGGAAAGGCTAACACTCGTGTTACAACTCTGTTAACCATTAGAAGCGATGGATGATCAGGCCACAATTTAAGCAGTTCGTCTACACGTTCGCGTACCGACTGAAGTAATGGACGAACTTTCAAGACTTCTTTGGGGTTGGGGTCTCTATATATGTCATATGGATGAGTAAAAAGCTCAAAAGAGGGTGCATCAGTAAGGAGAGTACATGAATTGTAATTACTCAGTATATGAGTCCCTAATGTAGCACGGTCTAATTTAGAACTGGCAATGCATCCAGCTGTTCCAACAAGAGACTGCAGGACACGCAATTTTAAAATTGCTGCTGGCACTACTTGTGATGGTGCAAGCGTGGCACTTCTGATGGCACCTGAACACCAGTGTGTATTAACCAAACAAGTGAAGATAAGATGATGCAATTCACTTACTTCACATATTTGATCATCCTTAACATCACCAAATGAGATATTTTCAGAATCTTCAACAGTGTTACTATTAGTTTCCATGTTATCATTCAGATTTAAACCACTTAGATCATCAAATTCATGGTCAAATGAAGGAAAAGCCAAATGGAATTCTCGCTCCTGAATCGCTTCTTCAGTTTCAGAAGCAGCTAAAGTACGAGTCTTGTAACGATAGAGAGACTCTTCTTCCTGAGCACGTAAAGCTTTTTCTTCTATTTGTTGCCTCCAGCGTAAGGCAATCTCACCAAATAATTGTGTAGCTAAATGAATAGTAGGTTCATCCAAGTAATACTGAGCAAGGGCTACGTTCAACAAATCTAAGAGCGCTGCACGTAAGATTATGTTATTAGTTATCTTTGATTGACCTGGATAATGATCTTCTGGCAGTAAGAGTGGTACATACTTTGCAATATCTAATTGCTCTTTCAGAAGCTGAAGAGGATGCAAAGGTTCTCTTAATGCTGGAAAGGCTGAGTATGTTACTAATCTTTCTGTCAGATTAGTGCAACAAGTGATATTAATATTCTTTATGTGAGAATGAGAAGCTAACAGACGTAGAGCTTCACATGTCATGGTAACAGCATAAAGTAATGGATAAGTGAGATCACGGTATGGAGTGTAGTCTCGAACAACTCTCTGTACAAAATTATCACAGGAAGCAATCATACAATCTATCTTCATTGTTACTACAACTGGAGTGGGAGTGTCTTTATTAATCACTAAAGCTGATGAGAGCTCTTCCATTTTTTCCTGTGTGAAAACTGTAGAAAGAAAATGGGTAAAATCCTGTCTTAACTGATAATATTCAGATAGATCAGGGCGGTGAGCAATTTGCTGAGTTAATTCTGACACAGTTCTCCTTAAGTGACTACATCGATCCTTAAATAATTCTAGGTGTGGGTGTTTTAAGTGCACAGGAAGCTGATCAAGACAGCCCCACAAATATTCAAGCCATTCTGATAGCATTAGATGTGACTTCAAGTCTTCTAATTCCTCCTGATGATACTGAAGCATAAGACTGACACACTGAGCAGGGTCAACAGGCTCTAAATGGCCCAAAATATTAGCCTGTACAACCCCCATAATTAAAACTGCACGAGCTACAATGGATGACCTTTCCATCCAGTCACCGTGACATTCAAGGAGTTCTTTGACTATGTTGGCCAACTTAAGAAGAAGTTTCTGACTGCTGTCCAGCAATAAAGTGCTGCTACCTTCAGCAATCTTATGAGCTAAGCTCAAAGCTGTGTACAAATCATGTGCTCCATTACTGGTTTCTGGGATAATGTTCATAGCAAGTGCAATGCTACCGAGTGATGTAGTAATAAAACTAACACCAGCTTTAGTGAATGATGCTTCATAGCTTTCTTCAGGCTCTGCAAGATGTAACCAATTGTTCCATAATGTCGAACGTATATCTTTCAGCTGAGCAACTTTTTCTACATGAAGACCAGATGGAACTACTTCTATTGAATTTTCATTACCAGTATTTTGTCTACTATTGCCAGCCAACAATATGTAAGTAAGCTGGCATACCGAAGGATGAAGCACATCATCCTGCTGTTGCTCCTCCATATCTTCCATTGTGACAGAGTATGGGTACATAAGGAAAGTGCGAGAGTGCTGTGTAGCAGTGCACAGACTGAGGGCCAGGTACTTATGAGTACTAATAACTGGAAAAAGTTTAAATGCTGGCCCAGCCAGAGCACCTGCCAGTTCTCTGTACACCCCAGGAGCTTTGATAATCACATCATGCAGGTATGGAGGCAACTCTTCACACAGTCTTTCAAATGACAGTGCATGAAGTGCCAAATAGTCAAACAAAGGCCATGTTTGAACTTGAAGAGCTAATATATCAGCTTCCATGGTCTTCAGTGATAAAGGAAATTTTGCATGTTTTGAATGTATTGTTTCTTTTAATGTGTTAAGCTGGTCAAGAATGTTACTAATACTATCAGCATCACAATTTGAAAACTTTCTTGAAATGCAAATCAGTGACTCTCTTATCTCCATTCCAACTGATGATGCTAAAAACAAGTTGAAGTTATCCCTTTTAGGAGTAAAAGTCATCCTGGATACCAGGTTTAATATACAAGAATGAACATCCAAGATCTCTGCAGATGTAAAAGGAGCAGGAGACGTGTGTACCCGAAGACTTACTGCCAACTTGCTTATCCCGTCAAATTCTCTCTTAAATGCTGACTGCATGTGTTCAATAATATCTTTCAATTTCTCTGAAACACATGAACTCCATGACCCAGGCATTTTCTGAAGTAGTTCCTCTTCAATCCACTTCCAATGAAGAATCAACTGTGGCAAAAATAAGTGGAATTTAGACTTCTTCACTACTTGACAACACAAGTGATAAAGGCGGTCACACCACCGTAGAGCACCCAACAGATGGCAGAATTCTTTGTCTGTGAGTGATACACGAGTGTTGTTTGAGACTTCAAGAATTGTTTGGTGGATCTGATTGAGAAAAGGTACTATGAATGGCACCGAAGCATGAGGTGAAGTATTCTTTCCAGCTAGGCCCTCATTTACTGCATAAGAAATTTCCAGTACAGTCATTGTGTCCATTGTACAATTATCACTCAGTTTGTTACTAGAAATTTGAAGCTCTTTGTACAAGAAATTCACTGTTTCCCACACCCAGAGACTAGCTTTATTAGCCAAACTTTCAAAATCTTTATAAACCATCATTTGCCTTGAAAGTGCCTGAAGGTTGTACCGAGGATCATAAACACAGTTAGAGTTAAAATTTGCTATTAAAGTCTGAGCAGCACAACATGGACCAGTGGAAACAGCATATTGTATTGCAGATGCTGCCTTGCAGCCAAGTTGGGCTGCAGCAGAGGGTAGAGACAGGATTAACTGTGATACCCAAGCATAAAGCAAGGGCCAGTCCTGCATAGGGATGGTGGTCAAAAGTATTATTAGACAATGAGGTATATCACACACTGTAGTTGGAAGTGGTCTTGGGAGAGACAAGGGTGCAGATGCCCAGACTTTCAGAGCTTCGAGATTTTCATGAGCCAGCAAGACAGTGTGCAACAAGGATCCTAAAATTCTAATTTGTGCCAAGCTACTGCTCCTACTTAGCCTACGCATACTCAACACCTGATCTTCATAAGGAGGCCATGCTATCTCAGGGAGAGTTGTCAACCATCTTGCAATTTCATCTATGACCTTACTAACTGCTTGATGTTTGATGGAGTTATTCTGAGACCTGTAAAAGAAAAACACAAATTAGTAATATTAAACATGTGAAAAGTAATGATGCAATACTTATTAAACTACAAAAATTAGTCAAAATTAAAAAAACTACAGGTAAATTTTGTGTTTGAAATAGAGGCATGTATATGAATCAGTGGGAGGTTACACTCCTAGATGTCCCACAAAACCAAAAGACTTTGAATATTGCAAATTATGTTTTCATAACTAAGCAATAACTGGTGGTATGGTGAGGTAAAGAGGGTGGTAAGGAAGAATAGATTAACACTTCAGAAGGCAGACTATAAGAAGAAAAGAGGGAAATAAAATAAAAGTGGTGAAAGAGAGAAAAAATGGGAATGAGCATGGAGAACAAATGAACTTAGCAGTTAAAAGCAAAAGAGAAAAGGTGGTCAACTGGGACGTGGGATGGTTGAATGTTAGTGATGAATGGCAGATGGTGATTTTATGCACGGGGAATGGAAGGATAACATTGAATAGCAGTGTGAGGGACATGGGGGGTAGAATGAAAGAGAAAAGAGTGACTAGATACACTGGGTTAAGACAGAGGTTTTAAAAGTGTGTGGAGATATAGTGGAGTGGCTAGTGCAGTTCAAACTGTAAAAATGAGAAGGTACCAACAGACTAGCAGAGATCATGCATAGTTTCTTTTATATGGGAAAAAAGGACAAGAAAGAAAGCAATTTAGGAGGATAAGTCTGTTGAGTTAGGAGGAAGGAGCTAGTAACCCCTTCTGTATAATTTATTAAATGTAAAAAGAAGAAATGCTTTAAAACATAAGAACATAAGAACAGAGGATCACTGCAGCAGGCCTGTTGGCCCATACTCGGCAGGTCCTTTACAATCCATCCCACTAACAAAACATTTGCCCAACCCAATTTTCAATGCCACCCTGCTTCAGTGGGAAATGGCCAGTGTGTTAAAAGAAAAAGAAAATCATTGGTTAAGTATACCAGGTAAAATTATTATTGAAATGGTTAGGGGTAAAACAAAGGAGCAGGGAGGATTTGAGAAGGGTAGGGGATATAAAGACTAAGTGTTTACATTGATGCATATACAGCAAACAGTACTTGGATAAGAGCAAAGAGCTGCTTGTTGCATTTATGAGTTTAGAAAATGCATAAAACAGAGTGAATAGGGGAGCCATTGGGAGGATATTACAAATGTATAGAACAAAAGGCAGGTAACTACATGTTTTTATACAGGAAGCAAGACTCAGGTTAAGGTAAGTAGAGGGAAGAGGGGGATTATTCCCCAGAGAAAGTAGGACTTACTGGAATGCATGATGCCTCCATGGTTGTGTAATATATTTATAAGTGAGGTTGTGAAAGAAGTGAATGCTAGAGTGTTGAGAAGACTATGTGAAATTAAAAATGTTGAACCCATACCAAGTGGGAGGTGTCACAGTTGCTCTTTGGTGATGATACAATCTCTTGGGAAATTCCAAAGACAAGTTGCAAAAGGCTATTGGATAAATCTGGGAGGGTATGTAAAGGAGGAATTTAAAATTGAACATAGAAAAGAGCAAGGTGATGATGATAACAACAAAGTATAGATTGAATATCAGACTGTAGGGAGTATGAAAGAAGTGGATATATTTAGATATTTGTGACTATTTCAGCAGCTGGGTCTATGAAAAATGAGGTGAACCATAGAATAGACAGAGGGAAAAGGTGGGTGGTGTGTTGAAGCAATTGTGGAAAGGAGTTTATCTATGGAAGCAACCAAGGAAATGTACCAAAGTGCAGAGATTTCTTTTTTAACCCTCTGAGGGTCGGAACCCGATCTAAAACTTGCTATCAGGGTCGGAAAATTTAAAAAAAAAAAAAATTCTTATCAAACAACAGAGAATCTTTCTACAAAGATAATAAAACCAAAAGTACGAAATTCAATGCAAAACTTACGGAATTACATATGTACTCGCAAAGTCAGTAGTCTCAGTGATATTTATGCATCAGCGATTTCACTCACTTTGAGCCCTATTTTCGGCCAATTCCACTGTTCCAGTCGACCAAACTTATAGCTATTTCACTAGCATTCCTTCTATCTTATGACTGAGAACAAGAAACCACCCATTTACCTAACTCAACTACCCAATAAAGTTATAGGAAATAGATAATTTTACCAATTTCACACAAAAATAAAAAATTACTAATTTCAAAAACAGGGTCCAGAATAAATAATGTTGACATTCCTGGCACTAAAGCAATATTTCCTCTGTTCATTAGTCATGTTCTAAGGACTCTCCTATATTACACTTGCTTTCTATTTTGAATTTTTATTCACACGGGGGTCGTCCCACAGTTACTAAAAACAACAGACATAGCCCCACTCCACAAAGGGGGCAGTAAAGCAACAGCAAAGAACTACAGACCAATAGCACTAACATCCCATATCATAAAAATCTTTGAAAGGGTCCTAAGAAGCAAGATCACCACCCATCTAGAAACCCATCAGTTACACAACCCAGGGCAACATGGGTTTAGAACAGGTCGCTCCTGTCTGTCTCAACTATTGGATCACTACGACAAGGTCCTAAATGCACTAGAAGACAAAAAAAATGCAGATGTAATATATACAGACTTTGCAAAAGCCTTCGACAAGTGTGACCATGGCGTAATAGCGCACAAAATGCGTGCTAAAGGAATAACAGGAAAAGTCGGTCGATGGATCTATAATTTCCTCACTAACAGAACACAGAAAGTAGTCGTCAACAGAGTAAAGTCCGAGGCAGCTACGGTGAAAAGCTCTGTTCCACAAGGCACAGTACTCGCTCCCATCTTGTTCCTCATCCTCATATCTGACATAGACAAGGATGTCAGCCACAGCACCGTGTCTTCCTTTGCAGATGACACCCGAATCTGCATGACAGTGTCTTCCATTGCAGACACTGCAAGGCTCCAGGCGGACATCAACCAAATCTTTCAGTGGGCTGCAGAAAACAATATGAAGTTCAACGATGAGAAATTTCAATTACTCAGATATGGTAAACATGAGGAAATTAAATCTTCATCAGAGTACAAAACAAATTCTGGCCACAAAATAGAGCGAAACACCAACGTCAAAGACCTGGGAGTGATCATGTCGGAGGATCTCACCTTCAAGGACCATAACATTGTATCAATCGCATCTGCTAGAAAAATGACAGGATGGATAATGAGAACCTTCAAAACTAGGGAGGCCAAGCCCATGATGACACTCTTCAGGTCACTTGTTCTATTTAGGCTGGAATATTGCTGCACACTAACAGCACCTTTCAAGGCAGGTGAAATTGCCGACCTAGAAAATGTACAGAGAACTTTCACGGCGCGCATAACGGAGATAAAACACCTCAATTACTGGGAGCGCTTGAGGTTCCTAAACCTGTATTCCCTGGAACGCAGGAGGGAGAGATACATGATTATATACACCTGGAAAATCCTAGAGGGACTAGTACCGAACTTGCACACGAAAATCACTCACTACGAAAGCAAAAGACTTGGCAGACGATGCACCATCCCCCAATGAAAAGCAGGGGTGTCACTAGCACGTTAAGAGACCATACAATAAGTGTCAGGGGCCCGAGACTGTTCAACTGCCTCCCAGCACACATAAGGGGGATTACCAACAGACCCCTGGCAGTCTTCAAGCTGGCACTGGACAAGCACCTAAAGTCAGTTCCTGATCAGCCGGGCTGTGGCTCATATGTTGGTTTGCGTGCAGCCAGCAGCAACAGCCTGGTTGATCAGGCTCTGATCCACCAGGAGGCCTGGTCACAGACCGGGCCGCGGGGGTGTTGACCCCCGGAACTCTCTCCAGGTAAACTCCAGGTAAACACAAAAATAAAAGATTTACTGTTATGCAGACAACTGCATTATTGTAAAAATTGTATAAATAATGTCAGCACATTTGTGGACACATATCAGAGTATTGGACGAATGACATAATTTGTGCACTCTGGAATATCAAGAAAAATCAAACATTTCTGCTACTCTGAGCTCAATTTGAAGCCACTTTCAGTCCTGAAACTTATCAAAATTATCTCTAATTGTTATCTTCCATTCTATCATATGAGACCACGAAACTGAGAATACAAACATAAAAACCATGTGAAAATACATTGCAAATTCGCTGTTTTACACCAAAAACACTGTTGCGCTTTTTTCCCCATTATGCGCTGCTTGCTGCAGGAATTCTTTTTATATGGTGCATACTTACAACATAGACCCATTCTTTCATATCTCGGCCAAAATTTTTGCTCACAGCTTATCTGAGCGAGCTGAGCTCATGGCACAGACTACAGGACCAACTCAGGCTTCAAAGCCGTAGTGACCAACCCTCAAAGGGTTAACACATGAGCCGTTTCCCACTGAGGCAGGGTGACCCAAAAGAGAAAAAATACATCATTATTCACTCCATCACTGTCTTGCCAGAGGCATGCTAGTAATACAATTCAAAAACTGCAACACATCTCCACCCCTCCTTCAGTGGAGACAATACTTCCCACCTCTAGGACTCAATTCATGGAGGAATTGAGTCCTAGAGGTAAGAAGGGCAGCACCTGCACTTTGAAGGAGAGGTGGGGAAGTTAAAGTCAGAAGGTAGTCTGATTTGTGTTGTCAGCACATTTTTTGGGGAAAAAAAAAAAAATATATATATATATATATCCTAGGTAGTAGGTTGGTAGACAGCAACCGCCCAGGGAGGTATGTACTACCGTCCTGCCATGCGAGTGTGAAACGAAAGCCTGTTATTGTTTTACATGATGGTAGGATTGCTGGTGTCCTTTTTTCTGTCTCATGAACATGCAAGGTTTCAGGTATGTCTTGCTACTTCTACTTACACTTAGGTCACACTACACATGCAAGTACAAGCATACACATACACACCCCTCTGGGTTTTCTTCTGTTTTCTTTCTAGTTCTTATTCTTGTTTATTTCCTCTTACCTCCATGGGGAAGTGGAACAGAATTCTTCCTCCGTAAGCCATGCGTGTTGTAAGAGGTGACTAAAATGC